GTGTGTGTGTGTGTGTACCTGTCCTCTCTTGCAGCCTGTAGCCTCAGTGAACCTCTCCAGCAGTGAGCAGGTCTTTGGGACGTTCTGACAGGCGTTTCCTACTTTCTTCCCTAAAAACACACAAAACACATTCAAACCTCAGTAACGCTTCAATCAAAGTTCATATTTTAATGATCAATTATTATTATTATAATTCTCCAAATTAGACCGACAGTCCTACTGAGTACAAAGTGAGGTTTAATCAAGAAAACAAACCTGAGTGATAAATACTGATGTCTGTGCTAAATGTGTTGCATGACACATAAACAGACTAAAGAAAAGAATACATGTATATATAAATACATACATGTATATATACATGTATGTAGCTGGTGTGTACCTTGTTGCCAGAGGGTGTACTGGCCCCACTCCCCCTTCTCTCTCAGGTTCTCCTCCTCAGGAACAAAGGAACCCGTGTTGTGGTCCATCACGTTCAGAGCCTCCTCTCTGATCGTCTTCCAGTTCCTCTCCAACGCCTGAGACACAAAGAAATGTGGATTCAGAGTATAGATAAGAGGACTAGTAGTACCGATACTCCTGAATGAGTTTGAATGTGTCCCCCTGAGGCCTCACGGAGGAGGTGATGGGCTGACGGGTTTGCTCACCCTGACCAGGTCGCTGTACCCCGTCTCTCTGGACGTCCACCACGGCTGAGCCTTCAGTCCGTCCACGTTGTACAGAGATCTCTGCCACACGGACGCAAAGTGACCGCGCTGGTGACCCAACTCATACCAGTGGTAGGCCTGGAGGAGAGGGACAGAGAGAGACAGACTTTGTAATCTCCAACATGTAAGTTAATTACATATTTGTAACGGTTTACAAAAATAACATTTATTCTATAATTGAACTACGTAACGCAACATAACGTAGCGTAACGTAACATAGCGTAACGTAACGTAGCGTAGCGTAACATAGCGTAACGTAGCGTAACGTAGCGTAACGTAACATAGCGTAACGTAACGTAGCGTAACGTAGCGTAACATAGCGTAACGTAACGTAGCGTAACGTAACGTAGCGTAACGTAGCGTAACGTAACATAGCGTAACGTAACGTAGCGTAGCGTAACGTAGCGTAATGTAGCGTAACATAGCGTAACGTAACGTAGCGTAGCGTAACGTAGCGTAACGTAACATAGCGTAACGTAGCATAGCGTGACTTAGCGTAACATAACGTAGCGTAACGTAGCGTAACATAGCGTAACGCAACATAACGCAGCGTAACGTAGCGTAACGTAACGTAGCGTAACGTAGCGTAATGTGGTTCCATGTCAGCGTGACTTCACTCACTTTGTCGTCTCCGACTCTCTGCAGAGCGTCGCCCAGGTGGAAATAAAAACGGCCGTCATCTGTTCCTGGTTCACCCGACTCCAAACCCTCCTAAAGGAGACAGAAACCAGGAGATGAGGTAACAAGGAGAGGAGAGGACAGAAGAGGAGATGAAACAAGGAGAGGAGACAAAACGATGAGAGGAGGTGTGTAGAGGAAACAAGGAGAGTAGCTGAGATGAAGAGAGACAACAAGAAAATAACATTTTCTTTTTCCAATGAACACGTGAAATTAGAAGAGAAGAAGAAGAAGAAGAAGAAGACAGACGGAGAGAAGATGAAGAGAGACCACCAAAGCTAGGAAACAAGGGGAGGAGAGGAGGAGATGAAACCGACCTCAGACTTCAAACATCTGCAGCTGATATTTCACAGAAGAATCACATCTGATTTCTGAATATCTTTATATAAATAAACACATTATAGACGTATGATGTGTTTATACTACACATATATAACCACAGTGTACCTTGAGGTACGGTATACTCTCTTCTATCTTGTTCTCTGACTTCAGGATGAAGCCGTAGTGAACTTTAGCGAAGCCGTTGATAGGGGCAACCTCCAGAACCTGTGGAGACAGACGACCAATCAGAGACGAGGACGGGACACACGCACACACACAGGCACACACACACACATGCACACACACACACATGCACACACCTCCTCAAAGACCTTCCTGGCGCCCTTGTTGTCTCCTAGCAGCAGGTGGGCGACGCCCAGTTCGTTCTTCAGCCCGATGTCTTCTGGAAAGATCTGAACCATCTTCTCCAGCGTCGCCAGAGAGCCGCGCATCCGACCTGACGGAGAAAAACAACAGACGAAGGTCCGACGCTGCGTTGAAGTGCCACCGCGTTAAACACAGAGGTTCATGTCTGAAAGACGTGTTTGTAGTATTTGTGTCACCCAGGAACTGCTGTCTCTCTGCTCGTCTCTTCAGCGCTGCTCTCAGGAGGTCAGAGGTCACATCGGGGAGCTCAGCAGCATCTCTGTAGCTGTTGATGGCTTTTTGCAGCATGTCGTTACTACGCTGCTTCTCAGCCAGGTCGTCCTCCGTCTGGAGACACACACGGTTAGGGGAGAGTCAGTACTGTGCAGTAGTACTGAGCAGTACTACTGTGCAGTAGTACTGAGCAGTAGTACTGTTCAGTAGTACTGTGTGGTAGAACTGTGTGGTACCTGGGCTCTCCCGTAGAGGGCGCGGGGGCTCTGTGGATGCTGCTGCACCAGAGTCTCAAACGCTCTCAGAGCCTCCTCCAGCTTCCCCTGATGACAGAAGTCCGTTCGTTAAAAGATGAATAAAGTACGGTAACGAGTTTTAGCTCAAAACATCTGGAAGATAACTTTACAAACATCGATTGATCGGTACGTGGAGGACAGGAAGCTGTACCTTCTTACGAAGTTTTTCTGCAGCGTCGATTTCCGCTTTAATCGTTTTATCAAATTTATTCAACAGCTTTGGTTTCTTTTTCTTTGCTGGAGGACAAACACAAGAAAAGAGAAATGAAACACAAGAAGCAACTTTAAATGATTCATGTGTTTGTTTAAAAGACTCTCACCTGTTTCTTTGAGCTTCTCCTCGGCACGTTTCCCTGTTGTCCCTGTGACACAGGAGACACTTTAGTATTCAATATTCACCACCATCACAGATTCTAGAGTCAGCTTTGACAACATGAGTGAAAAGAAAAAGGAAGCAAAGACCTTCACCGGGTCAGAAAGAGCTGAAGAGATTTATTTAAATGTGTGTTTAGACATTTCAGCGATCGCTCAAAGTCAAAATACTCCTCAGTGAGAAGAAACTATAGATTATAAACCCTGAAGACGGTCAAGCTGTCATCCCTCTACTAACCACTAGATGGCAGCGTTTTACTGCTGCGTTAAGTTCATGTTGTCTTTGAGCAGCTGGACAAACGTTTCATGAACAATTACATAACCTGGATAGTGTGTGTGTGTGTGTGCTCACCCTCTGTCTCCTTTGGTGTGTCTCTCTGTGGTTCTGGTTCTACTGGTGGTTCAGACTGGTTCTCTGCTTCCACAACTGGCTCTGACAGAACGATTCATGTGTTTATACATCTGGAACACTTCCAGAACAAAACACCTTCTGTCCTCAGACGTGTGCTGCTGATGTAGATTCAAGATGTTTAGACGGCGTACCTGATTCTTGTGTGAACTTGGAGCTCGTCAAGTGTTGTCCAGAGTCTGCTACAGAACAAACAGAAAAACAATATCAAGGCTCATCATTCAGACTGGTGTCATCAGAACTTACTTCACAAGACGTATTATCAGAGCAAACATTGATATCAGTGATAACGCTGGATAATATTCATATCCAGAGCTGCAAAACATGCTTCATCTCTTTTATTGTGCTTCGATATTGCTGCCTGTGAGATAAAACTAGTACTAATTACAAGACCAAGACTTTGAGGGACTGAGCGCAAGATGTTGAGGGTCTGAGATTGAGTTAAGACCAAGACTTTGAGGGGTTGAGACCAGGTCAAGACCAAGACTTTGAGGTGTTGAGACCAAGACAAGACCAAGACTTTGAGGTGTTGAAACCAAGACAAGACCAAGACTTTGAGGGGTTGAGACCAAGTCAAGACCAAGACTTTGAGGGGTTGAGACCAAGACAAGACCAAGACTTTGAAGTGTTGAGACCAAGACAAGACCAAGACTTTGAGGGGTTGAGACCAGGTCAAGACCAAGACTTTGAAGTGTTGAGACCAAGACAAGACCAAGACTTTGAGGGGTTGAGACCAAGTCAAGACCAAGACTTTGAAGTGTTGAGACCAAGACAAGACCAAGACTTTGAGGGGTTGAGACCAAGACAAGACCAAGACTTTGAGGGGTTGAGACCAAGACAAGACCAAGACTTTGAGGGGTTGAGACCAGGTCAAGACCAAGACTTTGAGGTGTTGAGACCAAGACAAGACCAAGACTTTGAGGGCTTAAGAGCAAGACTTTGAGGTGTTGAGACCCTGACAGTGTGTCTGACTCACCTTGACTCTCCTCTGGGGGCCGTTCCTCCACCAGAACTACAACAGGAAACACAGAAATAATCATCAACAGTTCAGTGTACTCTAATAAAAGAACAATACTGTAACTGTGTAGTTACCATTACTACAATGTGGACTGTAGATAATAAATCCCATCCTGTATTTAAATGTCTCACCTCCAGTTGTGTCTATGGTTTCAGCTTGATCCTCTGAAATAAGACAACAAAAGTGAATTATTATGAAAACTATGAACTATTGAAAGCAGAGGACAGAGAAGAGACTTTACTCACCATATGGAGGCAGGCTGTCTCGAGGATCATCTGTAACAGACAGTTACGCTGTAAATGTACTGTGTATTTTGAGGTACTTGTACTTTTGAGCATTTTACATGATACTTTATACTTTTCCTCTTCTACATCTCAGATGTAATTATTGTACTTTTTATGTTTGAATGTTCAATCAATACTTTTACTTTAAGTACTTTAACCACTTTTACTTCAGTAAGGTTTTGAATGCAGGGCTTGTATTTGTAGTGGAGTACTTTCAGTGTGGTATTAGTACTTTTACTGCAGTAAAGTATCTGAATACTTCCTCCACCACTGAAGAAAATTAAATAAAAGACTGTGTGTAACTGACCTGGCACAAAGTCCTCTTCCACCAATGGAGGGAGAGGGACGGCAGCTAGACATGCCAAGACACAGGTTAGAACACACACACACACACACACACACACCATCAAGTAATCTAACATTAGTCCTGCAGCAGACAAACAGGAAGTGTGGCAGCAGACTCAGGTGATGTCTGAGACTCCAAACAAACAGGGAAACAACATGCAGACAGCTTCACATCCAACAACAGCCGCAGAGCCGCTAAACTATCTGCAGGACCAACCTTGGATTTCAGACTCCACATCGTAAGATCTAGAGACTGGATCAGACACAGACGGGTAATAAGTTACCTTTGTGACATCATGTCAGCCGATCACACAGGTTGAAGCACAGTGAGAGCAGGCAGAAGGTAACATTCAGATGTCAGGAAAAGTATTCAGCATTCATTTAAAAGAAGACTGATGCTGTGAATAGAAGTGTCTGCTATACACACGGCATGGACATAAGTATGTGGACACCTGTTCATGTTCATTAACTCCTCTGGTTGTATAGAAGTCTATGAGAAAATGACTCTACCTCTCTCTTGATTTATTACCTCAGTAAACATTGTAAACATTTTGGTTGAAAAAAAACAAGATGGCAACGGTCAAAAAACAAGATGGCGATGGCAAAGACCAAAAACCAAGATGGCGATGGCAACGGTCAAAAAACAAGATGGCAACGGTCAAAAAACAAGATGGAGATGGCAACGGTCAAAAAACAAGATGGAGATGGCAAAGACCAAAAACCAAGATAGCGATGGCAACGGTCAAAAAACAAGATGGCGATGGCAACGGTCAAAAAACAAGATCGCGATGGCAACCACCTACAACCATGTTGGCAACAGCCAAAATACAAGACGGCGGTAAGAGGTGCTGAATGGGGTTGAGGTCAAGTTCTTCCACAACAAACTGGGAAAACCATTTCTTTATGGAGTTGGCTTTGTGCACCTGAGAAAGGGTTGTTGAACACTGCTGTCTAAATATATCTAAATGATCACTGTGTGCTGTAGCATTAAGATTTCCCTTCATGAAATCTGAAATATCAGAATCAAGTATATTTAGTAAGTTTTCACGTGCAAAAAAATGTCTTTGGTATTTTGGAAGTTAAGAATATTAACTATAAAATACTAATTTACAAGATAAATCAGAAGCAAAACTATGGGAACAGACTCAAACCTAAAGTAGACTCAAATATCTGGACAAGGTGTCCACATAGTTTTGTCCATTCAGTGCTCCTGATAATACAGAAGAAGCAAAGGAAGAGCATCAAGGAGGAAATAAGTAGCATTCAATCATCACAGCAGCTCAAAGAGCATCTACATACAAACAGATTAACTTCTGCTTCGTCAGTCAGTGAGAACAACATGGTTCCTCCTCACTCAGCTGTCACAATGCAGACACATACCTTCATCATCATCATCGTCATGGACGGATGACGGGCCGCTCTCTGAGGATGTCAAACAAAGCAGGAATAATGTTCGGATTAAAATAACAGAATGAGAAGCACTATATTTCCCATCATGCTTTGCATTTGGTATTTGGGACCATTTATTGAAAGCAAAGGAAAAGAATGTACATACATTAAAAATACATGCACCACAAAACACACCTGTCTCACTGGCTGAGGTTTCGGTTGACGTGGCTCGTGTTGGCTCCGCCCCCTGTGGCTCTGCAGCTTGCTGATTGGTTGTTTCAGCCGGATGCTTGCTGGTCTCTTTTGGGTTAAAAGCAGACGAGATGTATAATATATTTAATAACATTTCAACCAAAAATAAATAGTTGTAAACTCCAATTTTAATAAGCAGGCATAAGATCTATAGCTGCAACTAATTACATGGATTGATTTAACTCGTCCGGCTGTTCTTTTCCAGCAGAGCACATGTGACTGGTTGCACTGGGCAGGTCTGGGTGGAGCTGCTTTAAAGCCTCAGTGTGTCCGGGTGGAGCTGCTTTGTTGGTGTAACACAGTTGTCTTAGCTAACGTTCTGCAGACACACCCTCAGCTCTGAATATACAGGTGTACCAGGTCACAGTCAGCTCGATTCTACTGTGTGTGTGTGTGTGTGTGTGAGAGATCATCTCCTCACCTGTTTCCTCAGGTGAATCTCCCACCTGTGGTCTCTCTGCAGCCTTCAGCCCTGTTCAGTGGAATATGAGGTTAAAGTGAAAACAGTTTTTACCAAAAGTACTTCCTTAGTTTGGGATACATAGAAAATAAATACCTAATTATATGAAAGAGTTCAGTGCATGAGCGTTAAATAAAGAGCTTCTCCTCAAACATCTGATGAAAAGGCTGACGGTGCATATGGTGTGTGGCTTTACAATCATCACGTTTTACTAAACAATTACAGTCATCACGGTCGTCCCGACGTTGTCTGTGTTCACCCAGAACTCTACGATACCTCGCACACAGAAACTACGTATAAATATGTATGAACCAGATGGTACAAACAATAACTACGCTGCTGTATTTACGACTACATGACGTTATGTTGAGTGTTGATGGAGCTGCTACAGTGTTAGCTTAGCATAGCACCGATCGATCCAGACTCCACTCAGAAAACAAGTATTTTAAAAGTTGTTTACTTGTCATCTTGAGGAGAGAACTATCAAAACATGAATTCAGACTTTTCACAAATCGGCGTCATTGTGTCGTTATTTCAGCATCACTTTGATCCGTTTATTGCAGGTAAATCTCAGCTGAATCTGTTTATTTTGTGTTCATACAGCTGCAGTGAACCAGCCGATGTGAAGCAGCTCTCTGGATTCATATTTAAACTTTCCCACAACATTTGACTTAACGTGATAATATTATTAACTTGTGAAGTGAAAGAAACAGTCGAGACAGGAAACCTTCCCTTTCCTACACTGGAGCTTTCTAAATGTACCCAAACTCAAACAACGCTAATGCTATGTTGTATGTGATGAAGAAGACAAAGACAGCATGAGAAGGATCACTAAATACACAAACTGCCTCATGGAGAACAGTCGGAGTTTAAAACCAACATTTATTCGTCTCATTTCTCAGGAGCTACAAAAGATTATATTTCTTGGGAAGGAAACACGAGCTGAGAAGAAGAAAGAGTGAAGAGGAGGAAGCTGTGGTGGAGAGAGATACCGTTGAACAGAGGAAGAGGAGGATGTGATGTTCTTTAAACGGTGGAACACAGGTTTTCACTTCAGGCCACAGTCACATTTCACCAACAAGGAAGACAAAACATATCTCAATTAAGATTTATTCAACCAAGACTTTCTCACATTTTGAAGGAAAACAACAAAGATCTGAGTTAAAGACATTAAAAAAACACAACAAATGAAACTCAAGTAAAACTCTGTAAGTGAGGTTTTAAATAACACCAGAACTCATGTAAGACGACACGATTAACCTTTAACTAAACATCAAATGATGGCAGACTTTGTATTAAATCAGCATTTATTTAAAACTCTATTCCCAACAGGACAGAGGACCAATGAGAGGCTGTCTTCTTCTTCTTCTTCCTCTCAGATTTACATGTGTTCTTCACCAAAATAAAACATCTTCTGTAGTTACATCAAACCAAACTGAAGCAAGACGCTTCCAACAGACAAACAGCAGGAAGAAATCTGAGTGTTTCTAAAGAATATTACACTTTTTACTCTTCTTTTGCACCTTTTTTACCTAAAAAAACACATTTCAGGATTTTCAAGATTTCTTTCCATATTTGAAGTACCTAAAACTGACATCACCCGAAAGAAAAACACTAAATACTTCATTTGAATATAGTGATTCATTGGAGTAAATGGTCCATCTTTTTTTTTTATTAAATCAACTTTCAATGCTTTTAGACTGGAAATTTCTTTCGGCATCTTTTGACAGTCGGAGCGTCGAGGAGATGCAGATATATAATATGACCTTTTTGTTAAAGTTATTTACTATATAAGTGTCAAATCCTAATGTTCCCAAACTTAGACAAAGTCAACTAAAAACTAAGAACAATGTTCAATTCTGAGAACTAAACTCTGCAGCAGCAGAATATATCAGAACAATCAGCAGAAAGTCACCATTGATATAAATGGTAATTTGTTTAGGAGTTAAGCTAATGTCATCAATAAAAACAAACAAATATCGCAGACCATTTACCAACAGGAGCTAGCGTTAGCGCAGCTTTCGCATCAAAATGTAAGTAAATGTTTGTCTAATATGAAGCATTTGTAGGACAGATGGCAACCAACATGTCTCGCTATCCAGATACTTGAATCGCTGTATAAGTCTCTGGTATAGACCTGTCAATCACTGTGTAGCCCCGCCCTAAAGCATCCCCTGCTTTATGGTCTGTGTGACTCTAAATGGACCATAATGTACTAAATGAACATCATGCTGTATTGAAGAAGACTTGAAACTAGAGATTGAGACCATAAACTCATGTTTACAATGTTTACTGAGGTAATAAATCAAGAGAGAAGTAGAGTCATTTTCTCATAGACTTCTATACAACCAGAGGAGTCGCCCCCTGGTGGACACTAGAGAGAATGCAGCTTTAACACGTGAAGCTTTGGCTTCCCTTGTCAGACCCGGAGGTTGCCGCCTTACTTAAAACAATCGCTTAACAATTGCTAATTAACCTGAGGTAATGCTAACTGGAGTTAACTTAACTCCATTGACCTCTATGGTAAGTAGCTAGCGGGCTAGCCGGGATTGGAGCTGCTTTGAGTTACCCAATTTTCAGATCAGATCAGAATTAAATCCGATCAAACCAATATAATCCTATGAGATCATTTTGAAATACTGGCCCCAGGTAGCTACACTAGCTAAGCACGTCTTTACAAATACCCAAATTTATTGACGACTACATTTAGTTAGTTGGTTTCTTTCTGTAAAAGGACTAAACGAAAAATAATGCAAAAATAAGTCTGTCCAGTGCGAAGTGAAACAGAAAATAAAGCAGTTTTTTTTAACAAGATGGAAATTGCCAACCTATACCTTTAATATGTAGACCTTTTATTCAGAATATTTACTTAATAGCAAAAAATTAAGTGATAAAAGCAAGAAAAAAAGTGATTCTTAGGATTTACAGCTAATGTACTGTCCTCTAAAACCTCCTTACTCTGTCAAATGAGGATTCACCTGCAAGATTTTACACGTTAGCTTCAACTGTTTTAGCACCATTTATAAGATAGTATCTTAGATCCACGGCGTTATTTCTTCTTCCCGCCGTCGGCCATCTTTTCCTGCACCACGCTCTTCTCCCTTCTGACCGCCGATGCACTCGTTCGGTTGCTTTTCTCCTCCAAAGTTTTCATCTGGGAAGCGTTTGGTTTCCTCTCCGGGAGCTCTGGTTTCTTCATATCTACCTTCGCCAGCCTCTCCGCCTCCATCTTGTCCCGAGCAGCTTTCTCTCCGGCGAGTCTCAGCCACTCCATCCTTTCCTTCTCCATCCTCACCTGTTCGATTCTCTCCTCCCGGGCGATTTTCTCTCTTTCCTTCGCCATTTGTTCCCTCTCCATCCTCGCCTTTTGTTCTCGTGCAACTCTTTCCTTCTCTAATCTCTCCTTCTCCTGAGCAATTCTTGCCCTTTCCCTGGCCATTCGTTCCCTCTCCAGCTTTTCTTTTTCAGCCCTTTCCCTGGCCATTCGTTCCCTCTCCAGCTTTTCTTTTTCAGC